AAAAAAAAAAAAAAAAATATATATATATATATATATATATAGACAGATGGCAAATAAGCATATGAAAAGATACTCTACATAGACCATCAGAGAAATGCAAATTAAAACAATGAGGTAGGACTACACGCTCATTACAGTGGCCAAAATCTGGAACAATGACATCAAGTGCTGGCAAGGGCGTGGAGCAACAGGTGGGAATGCAAAATTGTACAGCCACTTTAGAAGACAGTTTGGTGGTTTCTTACAAAATCAAACATACTCTTACCATACAACCCAGTAATTGTGCTCCTTGATATTTACTCAAAGGAATTGAAGGAATTCCTTCAAAGGAATTTATGTGAAGGAATATGCACATAAAAACATGCACATGTACGTTTACAGCAGCTTTCTTCATAGTTGCCAAAACTTAGAAGCAACAAAATGTTTTCCAGTAGGTAAACAGATAAAATGTGGCACACCCAGGCAACGGAATATTCGGTGCTAGGAAGAAATTAGCTATCAAGCCATGAAAAAAAAACATGCAGGTAACTTAAATGCATGTTGCCAAAATGAAAAACAATCTGAGAAGTCTCCATACATATTATACCAACTATATGACATTCCAGAAGAGGCAAAACTATGGAGAAAGTAAAAAGATGAGTGGTTGCTAGGGAATGGGATGGGGTTAGAGGGTAAATAGGTAAAACACAGGATTTTTAGGGCAGTGAAAATACTTTGCATGATACTAGAAGATGCACAGATGTCATACATTTGTCTAAACCCATACAACACCAAGAGTGAACCCTAAGGTATAGACTTTAAGTGTGTCACATAATGATGTGTCACTGTAGATACATCAGTGTAACAAATGTACCACTCTAGTTCAGGTTGTTGATAATGGAGGAGGCCATGCATTCGTAGGGGCAAAGGGATATATGGGAAATCTGCTTTCCGCTCAATTTTGCTGTGAACTTAAAACTGTCTCTCTCTCTCTCTCTCTCTCTCTCACACACACACACACACGTTTTAAAAAAGAAATATCTGAAATGAATCAGAAAAGGAAAAAGAAAAAAATCTCAACAGTTTAAGACCAAAGGAGTACAAAAAATACATAACACATGTAATTAGGCTCCGGGGGGGTGGGGGGAGAGAATGGGAATAAAGCAATATTTAGATACTGCTACAAATTTTCTAAAAATAAAAGACATCAAACCACAGATTCAAAAGATATTACAAATACCAAGTAGGATAAATACCAGGAAGATCTTATTGGGGTACATCAGAGTAAGATGTACCTAGTTTATTTACAGAACTAAAACTGCTAAAAATCAAAGGTTTAAAAAAAAAAAAAAAAACATTTTTAAAGCAGCCAATATAAAAACATTAAAGATTACTTTCAAAATACAAAGACTTGCAAAAACTTTTCAAAAGAAATAATGAAAGCCAGCAGATAATGGAATAATATCCTCAAAGTACTTTAAAATTCTATATACAATAAAAATACCTTTCAAAAGTAAAAATTCAATAAATCCATCATCAAAAACAGAGAACTTAGCACCAGATCTACAAAAGAGGAAGAGCAATTGAAAGAGAAAAAGAACTTAAAAGGGATTGGAAAAATATAAAAGACTATAATAGATTTAAAGACAAATATTTAAGTAATTACAATAAATTAGCCTGACTAAATAGTCCAATTAAGAGGCAAACATTGATAGATTTGAAAAACAAAAAATTAAACTCAATTCTGTATTTGTTTTAAATTTTATTAATGTTTATTTATTTTTGAGAGAGACAGAGACAGAATGCGAGTGGGTTAGGGGCAGAGAGAGAAGGAGACACAGAATTCGAAAGCAGGCTCCAGGCTCTGAGCTGTCAGCACAGAGCCCGACGCAGGGCACAAACTCACAAGTTGTGAGATCATGACCTAAGCCGAAGTCAGATGCTCAACCGACTGAGCCACCGAGGCGCCCCAATTCTGTATTTTTTTTTTTTTTTTACAGAAGACATGCCTTAAATACAAAGGGCCTAAAGTAAAAAACTGAAAAAAGATATACTATACAAAACACTAACCAAAAGAGTTTGTCTACCTATACTAACATCACACAAAGTAAACTTTTTGGCAAGAAGCATTATTGTAAGATGAGGAGGGACATTTCATAATGATAGAAGTACCATTTTGGCACAAAGTTAGAACAATTTTAAACGTGTATACATCTACCAATATAACCTAAAAATGAAATAAGTGTTGACAAAATCAGAAGGACAGATAGGGATGCCTTGGTGTTGGTTCAGCCTCTGACTCTTGATTTCAGCTCAGGTCATGATACCAGGGTTATAGGATCAGGCCCCACATAGGGCTCCGTGCTGAGTGAAGAGCCTGCTTAAAGTTCCTTCTCTGTCTGTCTGTCTGTCTCTCTCTCCTTCTGCCCCTCTCCCGTGCTCATACACACTATAAAATAAAATAAAGAGGAAAAATACACAAACTCACAGTGATACTGGAAGAGTTTAACATACCTTTCTGAATAGTTGATAGAATAAGCAGACCAAAAAAAAAAAAAATCCATTAAACAAAAAAAAAAAGAAAACTTGAAAAACAAAGTGATCTACTTATATAGAACACCAACCCTAGGAACCACAAAGACACATTCATTCCAAGTATATATAGAATATTTACCAAAATACACCACATGTCGGACCACAGAGCAAGTCTCAATAAATGCCAAAGAACCACTTAGAATATGTTCTCTGATCACAATGAAATTCAATGAGGACTCAACTACAGAAATACAACTAGAAACTATCCTTATTTTTAAAATTAAACAATGTATTTCAAAATCACCCATGAGTCAAAGACATAGGAAATCAGCAAATGAAAATGAAGGCATAAACATATTGAAAAAATATGTAACATGGCTAAATCTGTACTTAGAAAGGAATTTATAGTCGTTATTGAATATATATCTGATAAGAAAGAAACCTGAGGATTATGGGATCCTTAAAAGGATACCAGTCAATGAATTTAGGGCCCACCCTGATCAAATCTGACCTCATTGTAAGTTGATTACATCTGCAAAGATTCATTTCTAAATAAGATCATATTCATAAGTATTGGGGTTAGGACTTCAACCTAACTTTTGGAGGAACACAATTCAACTTACAACACTAAGTAGTGGAAACAGGGGCCTTTCTTCCACATTTGTGTATAGATTTAATACTATCTCAATCAAAATTTAGGCAGATTTGTCATGGAAATTGATAAGCTGCTTTTATAATTTAGATGGAAATCAAAGAATTAGTTGAGGCAACTTTGAGAAAGAATAAACAAAGTCAAAGGACCTACATACACTCCAGATTGTCTAAAATAAAAAGACTGGCATTGCCAAGTGTTACCAAGAATGGAAGCAATTAGAACGGTCCTGCATGCTACTGGAAGGATAAATTGGAGCAATCACGTAGAATATTGTTTGGTAGTGAGAAAACACAAAGAATCTGATAGTCCAATCATATAGCTTCCTCTGTAACAACAGATAATTGCCAAGGAGAAGGGTAATTGTGAGACACAAGCAAAGCAAGAACAGATTGGTGATCACCAACACCACTGTCCACATTCTTCCTTGTCATGTTAGGAGGCTGAGAGCAGCACAGAAGGCCATCACAAATGGGAGCTATTTCAGTTGTGAAACATCAGTATTTTATATTCTGATGATTCAATAGCTTAGGTACTATTTTCTTGGAAATCCTATCCCATTAAGGACACATATACCAGGCTTATTTGCAAAAAGCAATCTAAACTATTCAATGACATACTGCTAAAAAGCATTCCCTAGATAAGAATTCTCACAAGAGTAAATACCATCAGTGTATTTTCAAGTCTTTCATTAGAATGTTTACCTTAAGAGCATTTACCTGGGTCTTTTTTTTTTTTCTTTTCTTTCTTTCCCAGGCATCCCCACTAAAGGGAGAAAAATGATTGCAGGAATGCTGCTAGATCTTTCCTTACCAGGCAGTTTTTTTTTTTTTTTTGAGGGAGAGAAAGCAAACAAGCAGGGTAGGGACAGAGAGAGTGGGGAAAAAGGGAATCCCAAGCAGGCTCCACACTGTCAGTGCAGAGCCCAATGTGGGGCTCAAACTCACAATTAGTGAGATCATAACTTGAGCCAAAACCAAGAGTCAGATGCTCAACAGACTGAACCACTCATGCACCTCCCCCCAGGCAGTATTTTTGAAAGCTGAACACGTGTATAATATACAATAATTCCACTCCTATATTTCTATTAGAACACAAAAGCATTAAATGTACACCAAAAGGTATGTAGTCTGTATTTGTGGTAGTGAAAATAATCCAAATGTCTATCAACATTAGAAAAGACAAATTGAGGGGCGCCTGGGTGGCGCAGTCGGTTAAGCATCCGACTTCAGCCAGGTCACGATCTCGCGGTCCGTGAGTTCGAGCCCCGCGTCAGGCTCTGGGCTGATGGCTCAGAGCCTGGAGCCTGTTTCCGATTCTGTGTCTCCCTCTCTCTCTGCCCCTCCCCCGTTCATGCTCTGTCTCTCTCTGTCCCAAAAATAAATAAAAACGTTGGGAAAAAAAATTAAAAAAAAAAAAAGAAAAGACAAATTGTGATATATTTGTAAACGGAATACTAGATGGCAATGCAAGTTAATTACTTCAGTATCCAACAACATGGATGTATCTTACAAACACAATGTTGAGTACAAGAAATCAGGTGTCAAACAACAGATACCATATAATTCCAGTCAGATAAAGTGCCAAAAAAAAAAAAAAAAGGCAAAATTCATCTATGGTGTTAGATGTCAATTGGTAGTTCCTTTAGGAAGCATTTGTTGCTTAGTAGGGGCATGGGAAGGGCTTCTGGGCTGCTGTAATACTCTAGGTCTTTAAATGGGTGGTGGTTACATCGTTGAATTCACACTCTAATAAGTTATTGGTCAGTATAGTTATGACTTATGCACTTTTCTGTATGTGTTATAATGAAATTTTAAAAAAAAATTTTTATGTTTGTTTTTGAGTGGGGTGAGGGGGGAGAGATGGGCAGAGAGCAAGGGAAATCTGAAGCAGGCTCTAGGCTCTGAGCTAGCAGCACAGAGCCCAAGGCAGGGATCGAACCTACAGACTATGAGATCATGCCCCGAGCCAAAATCGTATGCTTAACCAACTGAGCCACCCAGGCGCCCCGATCATGAAATTTTAAAGATTTTTATTTTTAATTCCCTGCTCTCCACAAACCAAACAGTCACCATCTCATGAGTGGATGACTTTGCTTCCTACTTAACAGAGAAAGTAGAGATCATCAGTAAAAATGCTTCTTCCTATCCTACCCAACCAATCACTCCCCCGTCAAACTCATCTGCCCCTAAACCTAATACAGCTTTCCTTCCAAGCACAGGGGAAGAGCTAGCCCACTCCTACCCACAGAAAAGGTCTCCGTCTTTGTTCGGGATTACCTCCTTGGGAACATCATGCCATGAAGTGCCCTTCTCTCCTCTTTCTCACGGTTTTGCCCTTCCCAGTAGCATCGACATTTCTCAGCATGTCCCATTATGAAAACCATGTTGTGGTCATCCTAGGGCCCCCACTACTACTGCCCCCCTTCCTCTCCTTTCCTAGCAGAGCTACTTGGAAGATGCACCTGCACTTGTTCTATCTACTCATGGCCTTGCATTCACTATTCACATCCCCACAACCTGATTTTATCCAGGTCGTTCCACCAAATACACCCTGACCACCTGCTCGCCAGGTAATAAAATGTGGGTTTCTCAGCCCTGGTCTCAACTCACTTCTCTGAAGTAGTTGGCTGCTTCCTCCTGAAAATGCTGCACATTCCTCTCTCCAGATTTTCTTGCACCATCCTGGCTATTTCTTCCCTGCTTCAGCAGTTCACAGCACAGTTGTTGGCTTCTCCAAAGCTGGCAGGAGAATGCCTGCTACTGGTCACTTTTAAAGGCTACCTTATCAGGCCAGGCCCACCCAAGATAATCTCCCTTTTGATTAACTCAAAAATCAACTAATTAGGGACTTTAATTACATTTGCAAAATCCCTACCCCATTGCCGTATAAAAGTACCATGTAATGCAGTCGCAGGAGCAATACCTTATCATAGTCACAGGTTTGCCCACACTCGAGGAGTAGATTATACAAGAGTACGGGTCACTGGAGGTCACCTTGGAATTCTGCCAACCTCAAGGGCAATGGTTAGCAAAGGGCCCCTAGAGAATGGATGTTTGAAAGGGAACTGGTAGGATTAATAGGAGACTTCACCTGGAAATAAGGGGGGTGTATTGTTCCCTACCCAGCACCCAGCTCCGGGGGGTGGGGGCTTTTGGCGGGGGGGATCATTTTCTTGCCACCCCTACAGGCCACCAGAGGCCCCAACTGCCCTGGCCCAGGACTAGGAAGTTCTGCATTGGGCAATGGTAAGCCTCCCAGATGGGAAATTTTCCCCTGAAAGGTAATGCCTAGATGGGAGTAGGGATTGGACAGAGGGGAAGTCAATCAAAGTCTGAAAATAAGAAGGTTGCCTTTAAAAAAAAAAAAAATTATCAAAAGGACTCCTGGGTCTTGAAAAACTGAGAGATGTTGCATTAGATATAGACAGAGGAACACAAGAATGTGTGATCAGGTCTAAGTCAGAGGAGGACAATATGAAACCAAGTGCAGAGGCCTGAGCAGAAGAGAGCTTCTGCACCATCTATCCAGGGTTTCTTCCCCCAAGTACCAAGTACAGGGTCCAAGCATAATGGACAGGTGCTGCTGCTTGCACCCCTACTAAGCAGCCCTCACCACAAAGAACAGGTCTTATCCTCACAACAGCAAGTATTATGATGTTCAGCTTGCAAATGAAGAAATTTATAACACGGATCGTTCAAACAGACTAGCTCGTCAGCAGCCAAGCTGGATTTAGGCGACTGTCTGCCTCCCAAAGGCTATACTCCTATGATGTCAAACCCCCACCAACTAATCCCAAGCACAAACTCAACCACACAAGCCTAGAGGCTTTGTAGGCATCCTTGCACTTAGGGTTCCGGGCAACTCCATGAGTAGACATTAGCTAGTCTTACAGATCAGGAAGAAGGATCAGCAAGCACCTTGTCCAAAAGCTTAAGCGTAGAACTTGACCTCAAATTCTGATCTAAAGTTAAAACGTGGATGGTCCAGGTTTGAGGGTATGCCTTTTGTAAGTGAGCAAACACAAAATCCGGAGTCTACTGATCAGGTCTGAACCTTGTTAGTTCCAAAGAGCAAAGTTTGTCTTATTTTCTCCCCTTCGTCCTCTACACTTTTCCTCACCTTTTCCTTTTTCTTTATTACTACCACTTAGACTCTGCTTTCCTGAAAGATCTGCATATAAAAGAAACCATCTTTGACACCTTGAGATGGATTTAAGGCAATACTTTAACTTTCCAGAAATATGTACTCTTGGGTCTCATTCTAAACTGCAGATTCAATGGTCTTCTCCCCAGTTAAGTGATTTTAGCAAACATAGGAGAAAGTTGGGAAAGGCTCCAATTTTGCCATAGATTGTCAAATTTTCTCTAATGCAAGTGAGAACCCAATCATTTCTTAAATGAAAATTTAACAAACATATGTAAAATATATATATAAAAGTTTTGGGGGGGGTTGTTTAAGACTGTTGGGGGGAAAATGAGAAAAATATACTATTCTTCTATCTTAAAACTTCAACTCCCTAATATTACTGATTATAAAAATCCTGAAACATTCAATTATCTTAAGACCAAGAGTAGTATAGGATTGGGACCCTACCCTTATGACCTTAATTACTTCCTAAAAGCTCTACCGCCAAATATAGTTACATTGACGGGGATAGGGGAGAAACAATTCGTTCCATAGCAAGGACCAAGGGGTACATTAGATATGTATGGTCTTGGAATAAAAAGCATCTTGTCTCATTAAGTTACAGAATTTTATCACTATGTCATTGTGGCAGCTGGTTGTCTAAACTAATCTTTATTGATTGCTTTCTCAAATCAAGTGTCCTGGAGGAACAGAAAATAAAAAAAAAAAAAGCAATAAGCTTTTGTAAGGCACATATAAAGCAGTAAATGCTCAAATTGATTATTCAATAAAAAGAATTTTTTGTAAGTTTCTATCCTCTCATTTCTATAGCAGCCAATGCTGGCTGCTACAACAGAGTCTTTTGTTAACAACGGTAAATTACAAGAAACTTCTGTTGCGCTGATGTGGGTTTCTGTGAACCGAGCTCGCCACCCAGTGGCTAACACAGAAATTGCAGAGACACACCGCATGCTGTACTTTGGGTGAGACTAGATCACTTGCTTTTCTCCAGCTTCAATCACTGCTAATTACAACTTCTACCTCCAAGACAATAGTTACTTGAAACTAAAGTGGGTTTTCCTTGGACTTTCTTGTTGAGACGGGGATAGAAACAGATGGATAGTGGAGCTTGTGGGTAGATTTGTACAAAGGTCAGTGTCCTCCCTCGCTCCCAGTGTCCCACCCCCCAAAATCTCAGCATATAGGTGCCCATCCAAAGCCTTCCAGTTTTGCCAACCTCCACCCACCATTGCTGCTGCTTGTCCCACATGCTCACACCCAACGGTCACTAAGTCAGGCCAGGTTACCATGTGACCATACCTCCAAGCTCCCCTTTCTTCTGTTGCTGCTACATCACTACAGCCCTGATTTTTCAGTCCCCATTCATGTCTCTTCGGCATCCCTCCAATCCATTCTCCATACTGCTGCCCAATCAACTCTACAAAAATTCTTATTTTTTGCAGTTTTTTGGTGCATGAGAAATGTAGCTAGGCAAATTTGAGGAAGCAAACAGAATATTCCTGACAATATAAGGTAGACCAAAGAATGAAATGAATGTAGAGAATATATGTAGGATATCTATATAGGTATATATACATACAATACATATGCACACACCAACACTTGTAGATACATGTCAAGGTGGAAAACACTTAACAGAATACAAAATCTAGAAGGCCTAAGGAAAAGATTAATTTTACTACAGAAAAATTTTAAATTTTAATTAAAAACATAACAGTGGGGGCTTTCTTGGGCAAAGATCAGAGAATATGCCCTTTCTTTTGGCATATTTTGTTAATGTTTGTTAGAGAGAGAGAGCATGCACAAACAGGGGAAGGGAAGAAAGAGGGAGACACAGAATCTGAAGCAGGCTCCAGGCTGTGCTGTGAGCACAGAGCCCGACGCAGGGCTCAAACTCATAAACTGGTATCGTGACCTGAGCCAAAGTCAGATGCTTAACCAACTGACCCACCCAGGTGCCCCGCAAATTACCAGTTTTAATAATCACCTCTGAACAATCCGTGATGGCCCTAGAGGAGGCATGACCTGACTAGATTACCTACGGACTTAACAAGAAGTTAAAAAGAATCAGGTGAAACCCAGAGCAGAGAAACCAAATTGTGAAGCTGAGAAACACAGTGCCTGAAGGGAAGGTGTTCTAAGGAACAAGAAACCATGCCATGTAGGAGCAGTGACCTCTGACACACTTAACCCTCTCCTGACAGAGAAGCAGACAGATTAGCCCCTCCCTGAAAGCAGAAATCATGGGGGAGAAATTCCCTTCACAACATCCAAAAATAACAAAGAAGCCTTCCCTTCACCACCAACACCTCCTTAGCAGCACCATATTCGGTCTCTC